GGTAGCGTATACCTTCTGCACTAGATAAAATATGCATGTGTGGGAAGAGAAGGGAACCTCTAAAGAAGATGAAACAAACGAAATCAATCCAGTCGACAGTCGAGATTAATTTTTTTTAAATGTTCTATGATAATGGACCTTTGCCCAGGGGAGATAGATACAGCTGTTTTTTTTTCTCACGCATACTAGACGGTGATCTCCCCTGATACGCTTTAAAAAACATGTCTGTTCTCGGCAGGCTGAACAAAAATCCCACGGTCAGGGGCACTGATTTTAAATTCGTTTGACATCGGCAAGCTGTTAATATGCACTAAGTCCAGAAGCAGTTTTGCATGAGAGGAAAAACTGTTTCATTGTTTTAACATTTGCTCCTTCATGATACAGTTGGGTTTTCTTTTCCTTGTCTTTTTTCAACATTTAATTACAATTAGAACTTCGACGAAATATTAAAATTTCTTGAGAACATTGAACCGATACCACAATAGAGAAACTGTACTTCTCAAAGTTGGGCTAAATACATTGTAACACTGGCTGACGATAAAATAAATGTTTTGCGCTGTCAACAGACACAATAGATGCTCTTAATTGGGCGCTGGCTGAAAGACGGTAAAGGTCAATAAAAATCTTGTTCACTTTTAAATCAAACTCCGGTATATTTTGTACGGATTTAAAGACACAATCTTCCTATCAAACATCTGTTATTCGTATCTTTTATTCATGTTCTTTATTTGCATTTTATTCCTTACAAGAACTTCTAATCTCTGACACTTATATTATGGTCCATGTTTTTGCAAGTGCCGTAAAACTCTTTCTGAAAGTAAATAACACTTTGTCTCGAAAGCTAGATATGTATACAACAGATACGTCTCCCCCTGTAAGACTCTTTCCCTACTTCTTTCCCTCTCTGTACAGCAAACACACTACAGCCAAGCCAATGAGGATGGTATAATCTCAGACACTTATGTTAGGACCTTTCTTGTTTTACAAGTGCCGTAAAGCTCTTTCTAAAAATAAAAAAAACCATACGTTTGTCTCGTAAGCCAGATATGTATACAGCAGACACCCTGTCTCTACTTCTTTTTCTCCCTTCTGTACAGCAAACATACAACAGCGAAGCCAACGAGGATGACGATAAAGAGGGTTATGAGGACGAGGATGGCGATGCCAGCCGGCGTCTTCCAGAAGGAGTTGGAGGTGGCGGTTGAGCCGAAAGGCTGGACAGTGGACACAGTCAAGCTGGACGGATCGGACAGGCCGGCCACTGGACTGCCGTCTGCAGACTGCTGGAGAATCTGGAACACACAAACAGACCCACAATTGGTCGCTTTTAAGCACAAACGGGCTATCCCGAAAAATGCTGTTGCGAGAAAATCGAAGGTAAAGGTTTTTTTTAACCCTGTTCAGTTTCTTTAAAAGACAAGGAGAGTTTCCTCTATAACCAAACAAATATACACACTAATGAAACCAAACTTCTCCTATAGATAGGGCAATGCCCACTTTTGGTGTAGGTCAAGATTTCTGGAAACCCCCGAAATCTGGGTTAGCCCGCTTGTTCTTAAAAGCAACCAAGTGTGCACGTATAGTACAGATAACACTATATCAGAAGGCAGGGCATGTGCTTCACAAACATATTATATTTTGTAAGTGTATGGGTTGGGTTTGTTATTGGCTTTTGTGTGTGTTTTTTTGTGTTCTTTTGTTGTTGTTGTTGTTTGGGGTTTGTTTTTTTTTGTTTTTTTTTGGGGGGGGTCTTTTGTGTGTGAGGGCGA